CGGCGGCATGGCGGAGACCGAGGCCGAGACCCCCAGCACCCCGGGGGAGTTCGAGAGCAAGTACTTCGAGTTCCACGGCGTGCGGCTGCCGCCCTTCTGCCGTGGGAAGATGGAGGAGATTGCCAACTTCCCAGTGCGGCCCAGCGACGTGTGGATCGTCACCTACCCCAAGTCCGGTGAGCCCCGCCCGGCCGCCGCGCCCGGCTGTGCGCGCGGCCGCTTGGCCGCTGGCCGCACCGGGGGCTGCTCGTCGGGCGGGGGCGGCAGGGCTGGGTCAGAGTGGTCACCCTCGCGGCGCCCACCGCCCACCGGTGCCCGGAATCGACAGGGCGGGGCGGGGGAGGGGCTGGCCAGCAATTTGCCATTGGGGAAACCAAGGCCGGAGACCTTCGCGGTGGGCCCCGAGGCTGGACAGCGTCCTCAGGAAGACAGACCCCGGGCCGCCACCCATTCCTGCTTCCCGTCCCATTATCTGCTTGGCTGTGTGACCTTGGACAGGTCACCTAACCTCTCTGTTTCTGGATCCTTCCCAGCCATTGCTAACTGCAGAATCCCGGTGATCCTTTGGGAGGGGGATAAAATGGCATTAAGGGTGTTTCCCTTTTTCATTTCCAACGTGAGCAGGGCTAGTGATGGGAACAGCCATGTCCCAATTGCTGTGTGTGCCAGGCCCCGTACCCGGTGGGTGATATCATCCAGAGATGGAGCAGGACCCCCGCAGGCACGTCTCGCAGCGTTAAATGACGTTCTATCCAGGACTCCCCCGTCAGGGAGAGATGGTTATCCTCTCTGAGGTTCGGAGAAGGGAAGTGGCTTGCCCAAGGTCACACAGCTGGTGAAGGCTAGAGCTGGGATTTAACGTTTGTCCACCTGTCTCCAGGACCTGATGTAAAAGATGATCCTGTAGTGGGGCTGCGGGGCTATGCAGTGCTCTTCTGAGGTTTGTAGGGAGAAGGGGCTTTCTGTTCTTCAGAAGCACTGGCAGCACAGTGGTTAAAGCGCTCGGCTGCTAACAAAAGTTGCCAGTTTGAGCCCACCAGGTGCTCTGAGATAGAAAGATGTGGCAGTCTGTTTCTGTAAAGATTTACAGCCTTGAAAACCCTATAGGGCAGTTTTACTCTGTCCTCTAGGGTCACTGTGAGTGGGAATCAGCTGGATGGCAGTGGGTTTTTTTTTTTTTCCCTTGTTCATTGAACACGCCCTGAGGATTTCCTTTGTTGCCACTGTCTTCCAGAGAGATGCCAGAACACAGACTGTTCAGCCTGTCTGTCGCATTTTATCGGGTGGCTAGCCTTAAGGTCACGGTGGTCTAGCAGCGGGGCAGGTTGCCGGAAAAGCTGCACATGGCCGTGCAGGGTCCCAGGCACAGTGGGGGCAGTCCTGATCAATCATCATTGGAGGAGTGGGAAACTGCATTGGGGTTGGGGGGTCACTGTAGGCCCTGGGATTGTGGAGCTTGCAGAAAAGAAGTCTTGGCTGGGCTGACTGCAGTCTGGAGATCCTGCTGGGGTGTCCTTGGGGAGAGGGAAAGGAGGAGATGTGCTCAAGACACTGCTGTGGCTGGGGACTTTCCTTTCATGGCAGCCCCATGAGGGAGATGCCAAGGCCCCCAGCCCCTCACCCAAAGCGTGGTGTCTAGTGGATGTGGGAATTCAGTTTTTCAGATTTTGGAGATAGTTGTGTATGTAACATACATGTTGTAAGATTCCCAGCTGTGTTTGGGGCTGTGCTTTGGAATGGCACATTTATAATGTTTTTGCTATGAACTATATGAATATTTGGAGCCCTGGTGGCACAGTGGTTAAGCTTTTAGTTCAAATCCACCAGCTGCTCCTTGGAAACCCTGTAGGGTGGCTATGAGTTGGAATTGACTTGATGGCAATGGGTTTGTTTTTTTTTTTTTTAAATTTGATTATTCACTTTAAGTGGGATAAACAGAAATTAAAGGTAGCTTTATGTCAGTTTAGGACAGAGTTTGCCTCCAAATGAATTGTGAAAATGTTGCATTTCAGAGCTTTTTAGGATTTTGGCATGTGTGGTTTCTGTATTATTATCTCCAAGGAGCCCTGGTGGCAGAATGGTTAAGTGTTCAGCTGCTAATTGAAAAGTTGGCAGTTTGAACCAGGGCTTCGAACCAGTTCTGCCTGGTTCAGTCATGGTTGATGAAGCGAAACCTGAATGGACCTGAATTTTAAAATGTGGGTGAACTGGAATGGGAAAAATTACAGGTCAAAGCCCTGCTAGAAACTTTATCTCGTTAGAAAACAAGGGCAGCATATGTGTTGCATAGCAACCAAATCTCTTAAAAGGCAGAGTTGGAAACAGCAGTGCCCTGCTCAAAGATGGTAGCCGACCTCATTGCTTTGAATGTGTGTCACCTCCCACAGTCCTGGCAGTAACTCAGACTCCTTCATCAGGCTCCTGAAAGGACTCACTACGAGTCTCCCATTCTAGGGCTTTGACCTGTAATTTTTTCCATTCTGGTTATTGTTCTGCTTTAGTCAAATTTAAAAAAGTTGGGTGTGTTTCGAATTCGCCATGACTGAACTGACTTGAACCGGTTCGAAGCCTTGGTTTGAACCCCCCCCCAGTGGCTACGCCAGAGAAGGACCTGGCAGTCTACCTCCATAAAGGTTACAGGCTAGAAAACCCTGTGGGGCAGTTCTATTCTGTCACATGGGGTTGCTATGAGTCAAAAACCGACTCCACGACACCTAACAACAACAGCGTTATTACCCCCATTTTACAGACGAGGGGTTGGAGGCAGAAGTTAAGGGGAGGTGGCATGCTTTCATAACTGGTTGCGGGGAGGGAATCCAGCCAGGTCCGGGTGACTTGGGCCCTGCTGCACCCTGGAGGAGCTGGCTGGAGGCTACTTGGAGCTGGGTACTGGGAGGTGGGGGGTGCTTTAGAGGGACACCTGCACGAGGGGCCTGGTGGGGCTCCGACAGAGACCTCTTGGGCACCTTGATGGGGAGTGAGATGTTAGTTTTAAGGAAGTTTTCCAGACAACCAAAAACCCCGTCTCGTTTGTAACTTGTGTTTTTCAGACAAACAGGCACATCCCTGCCTCTTTAAGAGGAGCGTAAAGGCACTGGCTCCTTTCCAACCACAGCAGTGACCTCAAGACCCTTTTGGGAGGGTCTCTTCACCCAGGCCCTAGAAAGCTGCCTTTTTTAAACTTAGAAGGAAAGAAAAATTTCTTCTCCAACATCCCCATGGGTTTTTCAGGCTCTTGTTTCTCAGTCTGCCCGTGCCTACTCCTTTTCCCTTTTTACCCCAGAGGGCCGAGCAACCTGAGGCCAGCCTTGTGAGAACTGTGTGTGAACCAGGAGCAGTTAACACTGAAAGCTACACAGCCAGCTACCATGCTCTGCTTTCACAGATCACAAAGCCCTTTTGTATCCAGAGTCCCAGTGAATTCTCCCCAAAGCTCTGTGAGGTAGAACAAAGTTTTTCTCCCCATTTCACAGATGGGGAAACAGAGGCTGTGGAAGAAGAAATGACTTAACCTAAGCTCATGTTAAGAAGAATATTCTTAATGAGATGGTTTGACACAGTGGCTGCAACAGTGGGCTCAAACACAGCAACGATTGTGAGGATGGCGCAGGACCGGGCAGGGTTTCGTTCTGTTGGACACGGGGTCGCTGTGAGTCGGAACCGACTCAGTGGCACCTAGTGACACAGCAGCAAGCTCATGTGGCTAGGACAAGGCCGAGCTGAGCCGACGGGGGGCCTGGCGTGTTCTCTAGGAGTCTAGGAGGTGCGGAGTGTTTGGGCTTTGTGTCGCTGGGAATTTCTGCCGCCTTTTCAGTTCCTCCCTAGTTCTCAGCCTTTTCCATGTTGGGGTGGGTAGTTATCTCAGGCAAGAGGGCCTTGCGATAGTTTTTTCTTTCCTAGTTGCATATTAGGTGAAAGCTGACAGAGCAAATGAGATTCCCATCCTATAGTTTGTGCATAAAGTGTTCCATGGCCTTGGTTGCATTCCCCACACTGTGTCAGCACTCTCTCCATTTCTGCTCTGGGTTCCCCGTTTCCATCCTGACTTTCTGCCCCTTCCTGCCTTCTCATCTTTGCTTTTAGGAAAATACTGCCCTTTTGCTCTTCTATAATTGATTGTCCTAAGGAGCACGTTTCTCTTGGGTGTTGTTCGTTTTATAGACTTGTCTGTTGTTTGGCTGGAAGGTGGTCTCCGGGAATGTCCTGCGCTGGTTTTAAATCAGTGCCTCTAAAGCCTTCCGCTCTCCCCACTTCACTGTAAAATGTGTCACAGGAAATGATAAAGGGGGCTGAGGAATTGGTCCCAAATATCTGCCCTAAAGATTTTCTCTCAATTAGAGAAAAAGGGTCCCTGGAAGCCACCTCAGGGGGGAGTTGGCACAGCAGGAAGAGCAGACGTGGGGTCGGGATCTGGGTTCTAGCGGGTGGGGTGACCTCGGGCGAGTCTGAGCCTCCGTTTCCTCCCTTGGGAAATCCAGACCTTGAACTGCAAGTCCCCATTTGGGGTGGGATCTAGAATGCTTTAGAGATGTTTGTATTCTTACCTTTGTGGCCGTTTATTGAGCCCTGTGTGCTGGAGGCTTCACCAGTGCTAATCTGTGAGGAATTCTCGTTGCTTCTTTTTCAGAGGCCCAGAGAAGGCAGGGACTTATTCAGAGTCACACAGTGCCAGGTCTAGTCAGGTCTCCTGGCTCCCAGCCCCACGAAGCA